TCACTACTGGTTGTTTCCCCTCCTAGTTTGATCGCTAACCGGCCACCATTGGCAGAACAAAGCAGCCAAAGGCGGAGCCATTCCGGCACGTTTGAATGCGATTCTATAGACCAGAAAAATTATAACAGTTTTTGCAATATTGCACCTTTTTTCGGCTGACACAATCGAGAACTGACCGAAGCCTGAAGCTGCAGAGACGAGAATTTCATCAGTAAAGGCCAAGTAACTCAATACAGCATCCAGACAAAAATCTCAGGATAAGCCTTCGGAAATTTTTTGAAGGTGGCCAGTACGCAACGAAATTTACTCACCAGCCAGAACGATTTTATCCAATGCAGGCGATATAGACGACAGGGCGTTGCCGTTAAGTCCAAGGGCGAAGAAAATTCGCCAAAATAGCAGTGCCATCTGGTTCGTTAACAGCCTCTCGCAGTGTCAAACCGTCACGTACATGGACCAAATGCACCTGAAATTCAGCCGAAGTAGTGCACGGACATACCAAGAAATTCAAACCATGGTCTCAATGCCACGACGGAATGAATGCTCCTTTGCTTTTTTTGGGGGGGTCCTTTTATTTTGCTCCTGAGCATAATAAGTTAAGCGTGTGAGTGCTGATAGGCTACGGCCATAAAAGCCGTTGAGCTGAGAGAGTACAAGCGGCCCTCGTGGCGTAACGGATAGCGCACGCCCGGAAAGCGTGAGGTGCAGGTTCGACTTCCGCCTAGGGCACGACCTTTGCTCACAACTCAGCATTCTTGTGATAGTTCCCTGTACAGCCAATCTAAATTTGTATGATTATAGTGTAGCTGATTTTGTTCCAGCTGCGTCGCCTGTCGGCACTGGAGCGCAATATCTCACGGCGTGCTAGGTTTGGGCTCTTTTGAAAGATTGTAAATTTGCTGGTCCCACCCCGCAGGTGCTGATCAGCTGCGAATCAGGAGTCAGGGCTTCGCATCAAAACTAACTATGAAAATTTCTTGAGCACAAAAGATTTCAACACTTTGAGGGCTGTGACTTTGCGTTCAAGAACCAGGGCAAAGCAAGATTCAGTGCTGGAAAAAAGAAGATTTACGTATTCTAACCTCCATCTTCCGTAGTCATTATTACTTTTACTTTTGAAAAAAATTCCCCGTTGAGTGTCTTCCCACAGCAGCGCGGAAACCACCGTATACGTGGAGGTTGTCGCCCTCTAAGGGAACAGAATTTCTTTCACACATAACTTTTCGAGAAGAGGTGAAAATCTCTGGAAAGTTTAAGATTCGCGTTACATGTTTAGTAACTTACTACTACAGTTTCACTTTCACTTGGAAAATAGTATCCTACTATATATAATCCGCTAAGTTTGTCTGTTGGTGTGTTGTGTGTGTGAATGTATGTGTGTCTGTATGTGTGTTTGACCGGAAATTCATAACTTCCTTCAAAAGAGCGATAGAGCCCTCAAACTGATAAGTAATGTAGGGGGTCGTGCACGAACATTATTGGTCGGTGGCAGGAGTGATAACAGTTGATAAGATACCATAAGGAGCCTTAGAAGGTAAGGGTCACCAAATTCACAACGCGCGTCACAGCAGCGGTAGAGCGTTGGTTCCAAGAAGTAAGATAGAGGGCAGGATGGGAACATTATTGGTGGGTGGCAGGAAGTGATAACAGCTGATAAGATACCATAAGGAGCCTTAGAAAGGAAGTTCTTTCAAGAAGTAATATATGGAGCAGGATGGGAACATTATTGGTGGGTGGCAGGACGTGATAACAGCCGATAAAGTACCGTAGGGGGGCACTTCAGGAAGGGCCTCAGAATTCAATGCAAGGGTCGGAGCAACAACGGGGAGCTGCATCTTTACTATGCCTGCGACTGAACTTGACCACCGTGCCCAAGAATTAATGGGCCAAACCTTAGTGAGCCGAGATGTTCCTATCCCTTAGCGATGTAGTCGGAATTGATCCGACCGCTAATCTCTCGAGTACCACTCAGAAGTAAAAGCCTAAACATGTTCGCCAGTGCAACGGAAGTAATAGGATGTAGGAACATTTCACTATGATTCCGATATTGTTGCCGTTGAAACTCTTTCAACGCTAAGCTTTCCCATTTCCAGTGAATGGTGAGTGTTGTGATAAGCACCATACGATGGCAAATGTTCATCTAAGAGGAGAATTATGATGAAATGGGCCGTGTTCGAAGCATGGGAATAAAGCGAAGTGTTAGGGGTCACCACAAAAATTCTGCCAGTGATCAGTACCATAGGTTTAACCATTCGCGCAGTAATGCGCGTCAGCCAAAACTGGTAGTAGTATAACACGCTTCCTCACCACATAAATTCGGTCACCCGCGCAACTACTTCATTAGCTCCGCTTTTGACCCATTTATCACACCTTTGTATACTACAGGTATACTAGAAATCCCTGAGATCGGGTAGGCGTGGCCGCATGTTTCAACTTAATCCTGAAGGTGTACATGCTTCTGGTGAGATATTTTCACCTTGACACAATTGTTGTCGTGTCTCTGTCCAACCCAAAAAACAAGATGACAGTTGTCTCGGACTGAAATATTAGGTTGTCCGGAAAGTTCTTAGCGTTTTGGGTGTTTAACTTTAAACGATCATAACTTTCTTAACACTCATCGGATTTAATCCAAATAAGCACCATTCGAATCAGCACACTTTTGCCAATGTGGCAGCAGTCGAGAAATCCCATCAAAGAAAAAACTGGGTGGTCGAGAATCCACGAAATCTGCGAAGGTCTTTTTTGCCTGGTCCTGTTTGATGAAGTATTTCTCAGCAGGAAAGTTCTGAAAATGTCTGAAAAGGTGACAGTCGGTTGGTGAAAGGTCTAGAGAATATGGTGGGTGAGGTAGAACTTCAACTCCCAATTCGTTCAATTTATGGATAGTGATTTGTGAAACGTGTGGGCGGGCGTTGTCATGCAAAAGAATCGGACCCTTTCTTTTGATAAGTGTTGGCTGCAGCTGACAATATTTTCGGTACATTTGGTCGGTTTGTTCACAGTAGGGTTCTGCTGTGATGGTTTGGCCTGGTGATGAAAAGTTATAGTGGATTACAACAGCCGATGACCACCAAACCTGACCAGAATTTTTTTTCGCGAGGGTTCGGCTTTGAAAATTACCTCGGTGGTTCCTCCAAATCCAACCACTGTCCGGAACGTCTCCTGTTATCATACATGATCCATTTTTCATCACAGGTGACAAATCCGTTCAAAAACGGGTCAATTCTTTTGCGCAAAAGCAGTGAAGAAGGAACCTCGAGACGTGCCGATTCCTGCCGGTCACTCCGATTGTGGGGCACCCAATTGTCGAGTTTTTTCACCTTCCCAATGCGTTCCAGACCATCTGCAACAGTGGATTTGCCAAGGCCTAGCTCTTCTGCTATCTCTCGAACTGTTTGGGATGGGTCAACCTTCAAAATCCCCCTAAAATCCTCGTCAGATATTGCTTTAGGTCGACCGCTATGAGGCTCACCTTCAAGGCTGAAATCTCCAGAACGAAATTTGTTGAGCCATTGCCGCACAGTGCTTTCTCTAGCACTATTGGGCCCCACACCTGGTTAATTTGTTGAGCTGTTTCGATTGCGGATTGCCCCAATTTATAGCCGAAGAAAAAAATCGTCCGAAGTGCTCTTTTCACATGCTTGAAAAAATCTTGAAAAAAGGGGGTTTATCAAGCAATGGTGAAACGGCAATTATACCATCAGATAGCGCAAGAAATTCTCTACAGGATGTGCTACTGAGAAGCAAGGCAGAATGAGTTTTTAATCAGCAGTGAATGTACAAAGATTAGGTGCACAAAACGCTAAGAACTTTCCGGACAACCTAATATTTAACGAGTCACCAGTTATGTGCCATACTCAAATGCCACGCCTACTCTGACAGAGGGATAGGGAGTGTACCTCGGGCGACACACTCTCCCCGCACCCCCCAATCCCCGGTTCAGCGAGCCAAGACGACTGTTGTTTCCAATCAGTAGAGATAGTAGTTGAACGAGTTGTCCGGCTACGCGGACGAGATTCCCCGCACCTACAGACGCGAAAAACGCGAAAAAATCGCGAAAAAACCGGCATGGAGTCCCCTTAGGGACGAGTTTTTTTGCTCAAAAGGGCATAATGACGCCCTTCGAGCAAAAATAGCAAAAATGCCAAAAACCTTGCTTTTCGGCAAAGGTGCCGAAAAGCAAAAACCGGCCCTTTTCGACTCTTTTCGAAAAGTGCCAGTTGGGGCAACGCTCTCAAAGAAATTGCAGTGAAAACTGTTGGGGCTTCGAACATTGAATTTCAGGTCGTAGTCAAGATCCAAAATGCGGCTCTTTGGGTTCGAAACGGCTTTTATGGATGCTCACAAACGGTTATTAAACCCTGCCCAGACGACAGCGGTTTATTTTCTCTCCTCTTGTAAACTGGCGTCCTTGGCAAGAAAGTGTGCAATTGGCGTTGGGCTCAACAGTGAATTTCAGGTTCGTAGTCAAGATCCAAAATGCGAGTTCACAGCGAGTATGGTGAAAACCCTTTGGCACTGAGTTCGCTTCAAATGGCGCCAGATAGTGCCAATGTTAAGAATGAATGTCATATTCGTGATCACGGTGTCGATCAGCTCTTACAAACGATGTTTATTTACGATACTTATTTACTCTCCTTGGTACTTCGATGGCCCTTCAGCTACTCGGATACTAAGGGAGATCCGCAGCTTGACGCAAGCTTTTTGGCAACGTTGAACCAGCGTGGAAGACGGCATTCGGTGAAATACACAATATTTTGAAAACGAGTCTCACCTACACCTAGGCGATCTTAGTGGGTGGAACGATTTGTCTGGTTTATTTGGACAACAAGGGAGACTCAAGCCTTTGGGTGCGGCCCGCGCTTTTCAGTCCAGTTTAGGCAAAGTTTCGACGAAAAGTGCGTTCGAGCATGCGAAATCCACGACACCTTATCTATTTCGTAACATGTGACACATGCAGCTTCCTAGCTCTTTTCAGTTAGTAATAGTCGAAGAATGAACTAGATAATCATTTCAAAGTATATACCTTCGAGATCACGTACCTCTGAAGGGTAGTAAAGTCCGCCAATTTTGTGTTCCGATCCTTCATGATCCTTCTGAGCCCAATGGAAATGCATTTGATGAAGAACATAACGATGCCTCAAACCGCCACCTTTCAAGTGCGGCTGCTGATCACCCCAATTTTTAAAGCCATCAATAACAACTGAAAACGTGAACAATGAACAATGGCAATAAGAAAAAGAAAGAAAAAAATTGATCTGGTTCCCTTTTGTTTGATCCGACAACTCCAGTTACTATACAACACCAGTTACTATGCAAGTCAATTTGGTTATTCTCCCTGACGGCTACAGCACGAAACAGTCGAGAGTGGAAAACATTGTGGACCCCAGTCTGTCACTTTCTCATACCCAGGATTCTGATGAACACCATTCAGTACATTCTGTTTTCATAGTAGTCTTATGATTATTTGGCGATGTCCCTGCTTTAGAGTGCAGCAATAAGCACACGTGCAATCAAATGCATCTTGATTAGTCATATATCCTTATAGCACAATTGTAGCATAGTTATTACAGTCTCTAAGATAGGCTTCATACGCTCGTGGGGAGCCGGCAGCCATTTCCTCGCAGTAGCTCATTCTTAGCGCCACAATAACACCAAATAGGAATCCAATAAGAGGGTGTAGGTTTTCTTAATATCCACGTCCTGCGTGGTTCGGGTCGGGTTGGACCGGGGCATTGGTTGGGGATTTTGGTCGAGTCTGTACGACCCTCCCTTTTTTAGGCTGTTGGTACCACTCCCCTCCCTGCTTCCCTCTTTATCTACTTCTCGACGGGAGGAGGGGGGGGGGGTCCGCAACGGAAATACGACCCTCTCTACCATTTCTTAG